ACCATTCCTCTTCAATTTGTCATTGCCAGCATAGTAAACCATGTGGTTGTCAGATTCAAAATGGCCAATACCAGTCCATTTCAGCTCACTAATGCGTAAGATATTGATGTTGATGCGTTCCGTTTCATTTTTGACAACTTCCAATTTTCCCAGATTCATACATTGTACATTCCATGTTCCGATTTTCAATGGATGTTTACAGCCGTTTCTCTTCATTTTGATTTGTGGCCCATTAGCAAATGAAGGTTCTGTGAGCTTTTCTCTACTTGGAGGAGGCATTTTTTCCCCCAGTCACATTCTGAGTGCCTTCCCACTTTCCAGTCCTGTATCTGACAATGTTTCTCTGCAATTCATAAAGTTTTTAGTGACTAGCAATTCAGAAGTAGTTTGTCACTCCTTCTTCCTAGTCTGTCTTTGTCTGGAAGCTCATCTGAAACCTGTCCACCATGGGTAAACCCTGCTGGTTATTTAAAACACCAGTGGCATAGCCCTCAGAATCACAGCAATTCAAACCACCACAGCATGACAGACAGATGAGTGGCGGTTGCGTGGTTGCTGTTAAATAGAGCCCTTAAGTCTGGTTCAAAGGCAGGATTACTGTCCTTGGATCTCAATCAAGAGGCAGAAGTGCAGCAGGGGCGACTGGGTTGTAGTGAGACGCTTTGGGCTGGGCTTGTGGGTCTCTAAGTTGATCGACCACTGCCTCAAAGCCAAGATCCAACGGTTAGGCTAGGAAGGCGCTCTCGCGTCCGGGGTAAGTAGGACAGCCTGGCCGGCTCCTGCAGTCTCTTCCCGCTAGGCAGCGTCTCCCCATCGACCTGGTCTCCAGACACCTCTCACCCCGCCGCTCCGTGATCTGGGTTTCATTTAACACGTCCACCAGGTCTGCGCAGTTGTCGCACATCGTTTAGCCGCTGCCCTCCATGATAGAAAATTAAATTTTATGGATATAAAATTTAAGCTTTCTTGAGCAAGCAAAACTCAGAAAAGATAGAAAAAAAAAAGATTTACAAATTTCACTAAATGAAAGTAAAGCATCCATAAAACAACTTGGCAGCAAAGTTAAAAGTGACAGACTGGGAGGTAAGATTGACGTGTGAAGGAGGGAAGTTAGTGAGAGAATAGTGGGAAAGGATGTGAGTGGCACAGGGCTCTGATCCAGGTGGAGGACTCCCTGGGCTGAACAAGAGATCACCTCTGCCCACCTCCAGACCCAGAGGGCTGGGGCACAAGGGATTCTCCAGGCAGTCCTCCATCCTGAGGCAGGGCAGAGGAGAATCACATCCCAGACTGAGATTTTGCCCCTTGTCTCTGCAGAAATCTGCCCTGATTGTCAGAGGACCCCGGGAAGTGAAGATGCGGGAGCTAGTCTTCCTCCAGTTCCGCCTGAACGAGAGCAGTGAGGACTTCAGCGCCATTGATTACCTCCTCTTCTCGTCTTACCAGGAGTTCCTGCAGAGGTGGTCTTATATAGGTTATGGCAGACTTGCTTTAGTGTAGTCCACAGCTTTGCACTTACACAGCCCCAGGTGGAGAAGTGGGTTGGGGGTAGGGAAGCAGCTTGTCAGAGTCGTGTCCCCGCCCCTGGCATGGAAAAGGACCCTGGGAGCTCAGTGAGCCCATTTCTTTGCCTCATGACTTGACCCTGGTGTAGGACTCCTGAGGAGGATGCTGCCTTCCTTTTCCTTGAGGTGCTTACCATTTATGCTCAGTGTCTGATCTGAGGGTGTAAGTGCTGCCTTTCCTCACTTGTGCTTCACTTGTGATGAGGGTCCCCAGATCATTGAAGTTCTGGTCTGCTCCCCAAGTGCCTTGGGAACACTGGCACCCCGTTGGGGCCCAGAGTACTTGACAGCGTGGTAGCAGTTTCTGCATCTGCCAGGCTGTGTGTGACACAGTCCCTCCCAGCATTCCCTGCTGAGGCCTGGACTGCCTTTAAAAGAAGTAGAGAGGCAGCTGCCACAGTAGAAAATGAGGTGTGCTGCCCCCACCACTCCCAACATGGGCCTACCTGCTCGCAGCCTCTCCTTCGCATTCCACACTTCTGCCCTCTCTGCCACCCAGAATCCCATCTCCTCGCACTGCTTCAAGCTGACCCAGTATTCCTTTCCCTTGAAAGGTGTTGCTGAGGCTCCCCATCCTCCTGTATCCCTTTCTGGCTTCCTCCCCCCTGCAGCACCGTTTCTGCTCACTGTTTGTGCTTTATGATAGGGATGTCTGCACCACCCTGGGGCAGACTCTGTGCATCTCAGCAGGGCAAGAGCTCTCCAGGAATACATTTCCTACTGTGAGCCTTCCAGGGACAGACTTCTGGGTTCATGGGGGTTGCCACAGCACTGTGGTGTGTGGAGCCTGGAGAGGAGGCAGGGAGTGGGTAGCCCTTGGGTGGGACTGGAGTTTGGGTCTAGCCGTGTTGGGTTAACTTGAACCTTATTTTTCTTTGCCCTCCAAGCCCAGACAAGGTGGGCTTCATGCAGGCGTGTGAGAATGCATATTCCAACTGGAAGTTCTCTGGGGGATTCCGCACCTGGGTCAAGATGTCTCTGGTGGAGACCAAGGAGGAAGATGGGAGGGAAGCTGTGGAGTTCCGGCAGGAGGTAGGTGGCTCGGTTTTGCTTAGCTATTCACAACTTTTCCACACTGCGCCTGGGCTGGAGGGAACATTTGGAAGGGAGGTGACGTTTGAGCAGGGTTTTAAGGAAAAATAGTAGACCTTGGTCAGGAATAAGTAGGTACTCTGTTAGGTTATACTTTGTCAGTGTTGACAAGGTGAAATATTCAGTTCGTAAGGTAAGTGTGAGTAGAAATACCTAAGAAAGATTTTGGTGACTACCTCCAGTACCTACTGCACATCCCAGCACCTTTCCCTTTTGCTCAGGGCACAGCTGTGGTACCAGTGTCAGGCTCTGGTGTATGAGGTGGTATCAGGAAGCCCCAGTCTGAACCGCTAGGCGGTGACACTCCCTCCTCTCCTCTCCTTTGCATCTAGACGAGCGTGGTTAACTACATCGACCAGAGGCCAGCTGCTGAAAAAAGTGCTCAGTTGTTTTTTGTGGTGTTCGAATGGAAGGATCCTTTCATCCAGAAAGTTCAAGATGTGAGTATATGATGATGAGCAGAGCCAGCTCCCTGCCCGGAAGCATTGCGGCTCATCCTTGCATTATGCTGATCCACCACCCTGGCCTCCTTTCAGTGCTTGGAGCCCAGATTAGCACAGAATAGCTGCTCAGTCATAATGTTAGTAGAATGAATTGAGTAGAATGTATTAATGTATGTTGTGTAAGTGCTTTTGAGTCGGTTCTGACTCATAGTGACCCTATATAGGATTTCCAGTGAGGTTTAAGCTGCCAACTTTGCAATTCAAACTGACTTTGTGCTCCAGTGCATTTATCCTGAGGTCCTTTTAAACGATTCTCTGTAGGATAAGTACTTAGTACTTGTAGCAAGTCAGAGCAGAAAGGCGCAAATACAAAATTAAGACAGCGTCCATTAAAGCCAGATTCTCCACCTTACCATCTCCAGAGGGGAAGAACAATGAGTCAGCTTTGCTAAACGAACATTCCTGACACTGTCGCCAAGAGCCAGTCCCAGATCCATTGCTGACTGGCACTCAGATCACTATAAAACGTCCTTGTGTGGCCACAGATAGGGGATGATATTGCAGAGCTGAACCAAGGCTCCAGGTGGAAGACTAGCTGTCAGCCCTACAGATACATGGGAGCGACCATTTTTAACCTGTTACGTTCACTTGTTGTTTGTCGTTACGTGCCGTCGAGTCAGTTACTGACTTGTAGCAACCCTGTGCAGGGTTTCTAAGGAGAGGCCTGTGGGTTTGAATTGCCGACTTTGTGGTTGGTAGTCCAGTGTCTTCACTCAGCTTCACAACAGTCCTGTTGAGTGCAGTTGGTGTAACCACTTTGCATATGTGAAGACAGAGGCTCAGGTCGGAGTTCTATTACCATATACCACGATGAGAGCCAAGAGTGACCTCTGCTTGAGAGCTTCCCATTTAGTGAGGGAGCCATTTGATGGCAGTAAAGTACTAATTCTCAGCAGGGCCTGCCCACAGGAATCTGCAGGGTAAATATACCTGCTAAAATCCAGAGAGGACATTTTGTAGGTGGTCAGAGAAGGTTTTAAAGGACTTGTAACTCTAGGAAGGCAGGGGAGAGAAAGTGTAAAGCCCTGGAAGGAAGGAGGCAGGAATCTGTGAGGATAATTTGGGAGGAAATTTGACTAGAAAAGAAGAAAAGTTTGAAACTAAGCTTGCTGAGATGGGAAGAAATGAGGACTTAACTTGACCTTGACTTTATTGGTTTTGCTATGGTTTGTAACAAGGCACTTAATTGTTTTTAGTTAAGTCAACCATTAAAGCTCAGTGCTCAATTATCTTGTGTCTTTTATAAAGCAATTTATAAAGCAATTTTTTCTTTATTGTGAGGAAGGGATTAGATTTATCAAATTGAGCTGTGAACATTGAAAGTTTAGTCTGAATTAGAATCAAACAGTTCTGGTTGATTCTAGAACCCGTGTTTTTCTGTGATCGTCATAATTTAGTGGGCTCTGGGAAAGAACACAAGCATAATGAAAGAATCAGACTGAAGCAAACCAAGCAAAGCTGTGTTTGTTTGTTTTACAGATAATCACTGCCAATCCTTGGAATACAATTGCTCTTCTTTGTGGGGCCTTCTTGGCATTATTTAAAGCAGCAGAGTTTGCAAAACTGAGTGTGAAATGGATGATCAAAATTAGGAGGCGATATCATAAAAGGAGAGGCCAGGCAACAAACCACATCAGCTGAAGTTGTCACCTGTGCTGCATCTACAACTGTCCAAATGAGTATGCTGAGCGGCCAGCATTCCTGTAGCCACTTGAAGCCATGGGGTCCTGCTGGGAGAACACTCTGTTCTCCTGGCCCCCAAAGAGACTGTATAAAGCCTAATGGAACAGATCCAGTGAAGAACCTCAAGATTATTTAAGTATTTAAATTATTAATGAACATTTTTAAAAGATGTCTAGTGATGTATGTATGGATAGGTTTTGTGGAAAGTGGATCTTTATCAAGTTTTCTGGAAGTTCCTCAGTTATTGAAGACACCTTCCTTAAATCTAGTCCCTTTTGCTTTGGTGTATAATTAAGCACTAGCAGTTTATCTAAGGCCCTATATTCTATTTTCGGTTTCTTGCTGAAGTTTTAAAAGTAGACGGAAGAGTGACAGTGTGATCTAAGGCCCTATATTCTATCTTCGGTTTCTTGCTGAAGTTTTAAAAGTAGACAGAAGAGTGACAGTGTGATTTTCTTTTTTTCCAAAAAAATCTTGACTATTCAGATGTGTGGGTCTTGCTTTGAAACCTCACATACATCTCTGGCAAGTTCTCTCATGTATTCACACTTTTAAAAAGCTACTAGGAATAGGCAATTAAATTGTTTGTGGACTATTCAACTGTTTGTCTGGTTAGAGCTCTCATTGATGTAGGTATAAAAATTTGATTAGGACAGATGTACATAGTAAGTACTTGACTCAGTGCATCTTCTTGATTTTCATTAACAGGGAGAGAAAAGCCGAGTCAGTACAGAAATAACTGAGTGCTGGCATGGACATCTGCTCAATCAGTAGGTACCAATGTTCTTTGATCCTATGACCTCCAAGAGTAAAAGGGAGCATGTGTTCTCTCTGTGGTGGGTCAAGGTTATGTTTAGAACTGCCCTGAAGAGGTTGGGCATGGTGATGGATGAGTTGGTCAGGAAGAAGAACCCACCAGCAAGTCCTGTGGATAAGCTGTGCTGGGCCTCAGGCACCTGTTAGAGAAACGGGCTTTTAGCCTAGCCTCACGCTGGATGTGTGATTAAAAAAACCCATTTCAATGATTTTCACATTTAGCTGATTTATTTGGATGGTTTAAGGTTATAAAAATTCCCAAAGAGAAAAAAAAAAACCAAGTGAAATGTATGAGGGAAGCCATTTGTCATCTCGTCTTGACTTAAGCCAGAAATTGTTTTTGGTTGAGCAATTAAAAGTGACTTGTGTAAACAAGCGCTTCCTACTACGTTTCTGCTCCACAGAAGCATGAGAAATGAAACTTGAACCAAACTCTCTTCTGATGGTAGGGCAAATGCAGAGGCAGGCCTGAGATTATCACACTTATGAGAGTTTATATAACAGTATTGGAAAACAAATTTGTGGTGGCTGGTTTCTTCCCCTCCACTACAGGTATTCCTGACTTATAATGTATTCTAGTTAATGATGTATTCTAGTTACAACAAACTGTACTTAAAAGACTCTTTTGTATATGTACTAATGTGCTGATGTGCTCATTCTCAGATGTTCAGTGCAATGATTTATTGTTCACTGCTGTATATAGCAGGCTATGAAAACAGGAAAAATAAGAGAGGGATTTCTACTTATGACAGTTGTTGAAATAGACCCCCTTACCCTTTGCACTAAAAAGAGCAAACATTTTTAGCTATTCAAAGTAAAAAGCTCTATTAATAACTGTGTACTACAATGTACACTGTATAGCTATTATAATGTACATAGTATAATAGTTTTATTAATAACTTACAATATATATGTTGTTGTTAAGTGCCGTCGAGTCGGTCCCGACCCATAGCGACCCTGTATAGGGTTTTCCAAGGAGTAGCTGGTGAGCTTGAACCACTGACTTTGCAGTCTGACGCACTGGCCCATAACGCCACACCAGGAGTCTCTACAATATATGTAGCATATATTATGTATTACAATACATAGTTAATATTACAATACAAAGACCTTTTTGTCTTTGAATTGCTAAAATGGAGCTCTGATAGCTTAGTCGGTACAAGTTGGGCTGCTAACCTCAAGGTCACGGTTCAAAACTACTAACTGTTCCTTGGGAAAAACACGAGGCTTTCTGATCCTGTAAAGACTTACAGCCTCAGAAACCCACTGCAGCCTTGCTGAGTTGGAAATGATACCAATGACTAGATACCAATGACTAATAGCCATAAGCTAAGACCTTCCGCAGAATACAAACTTAGACCTAACACCTTCGCTTTTTGGAAAGGCCTGCCTTTCACTCTGTCTTGAGTAGGATCGTCTTTTATTTGTAACTATCCCCAGCTACCACTGAGACTGGTTGGCTTTGGACTAGTGTGGGGGATCTGCCACACCTGCTACTTGCTAAGACTGAAACCATGAGATGTTAAACTGAATGGAAATTTCTTCTCCCGGGGCCATGGAAATTAAAGAGGAGCTCCTTTCACAGTGACCTAGGAGTAGGGTGCTTGAACCTGTGTTAGAGGGTTTTAATGATAATCCCCCACAGAAATAAAAAACCCCCAGCGGTACTCTTATGAGATCTTTCTTCTTTGGTCTGTTTTAATTGAAAACAAAACAAAAAAACACTTAAGTCATACCTCTCCTCTGAATACACAGGGACATGAAGGAAGATGGAAGGTATCCTAGAACCTAAAATTTTAGAAGACATCCCACAACTTGCCTTAATATCTACATACACGGATGTGAAGAGGTGTGGGTAGGCTTCTGAATACTTAAGCTTGGCCCTGAAATAATCAAAGATGACTTAAGGCAAAATACAAACATAGACTTTATTAAATGCTGCTCAATCCCCCAATGAAGATCTTTCGTTACAAAACAGTTTTCCACACAACTGCAAGTTAAGAGATTGGAATGGTACTCTGGTAACAAAATATGTGAGAAATACTTGACCAAATATAGACATACAAGACCTCTATAATCAACTTTTTCAAAACTCGAGGGAAACCTACTGCAGTTCCTTTAAAAGCCAGGCAGTGACAGCTAGCGTTCTGCATCACCACACGGTGGGACTCCAAGCCTCCATCCCTGACCTGGGTCAGGAGGGACTAGGGGAAGGGGCAGGGGTAACGGTAAGGACTGGAAAGGCCCTGCCTTCAGCTTTAACAGAGGAAGAGAAGGAATGAACGGAGAGGCAAGCTTTGTTCACCTGAGCTGCCTCTACTCATCTGCGTTAGTCCTTCCTGGGAGTTGCATATGAAGGGAGATATTCATGAGGAACAATCTGAAAAATCTGGTTTACTTTCCCAGCTTTTACTTGTATTTTGTGCTTTTAAAAAGTCTGGAAATTTAAGGTTTGTTATTTCTCAAATTCCAGAGTGCAGGTAATTCCCTCCATCATATTTCTGGGAGAGACAAAGGGCAAGGTAAGGATTATACCTTAGTTTTATTTTAGGAAATTTTTTTTTTTCCCCTAGACTTTAACTAAGGTTTGCAGCAATGTGAAAAGCACATTATAAAAGGGAAAAGATACAGAGCAGGCTACTTATCTATGTGCAACACAATCAAAAGAAAATTCAAGTCATAATTCTCACCACTCCCAGAATTAGCTCACTCGTCATAGATGATAAAATTCATTCATTTCTGTGAAACTTCAGAAGTGACACAATAGATCTGATTAGACAAAGGTTACAATATACTGTGGCCATGATATAACACAGGGCTATGTTTAGTCCGTATATTTTTCATTTACAGTCGCCAGGAAAAAAAAAATTGGCCTTTTAATTATATTATACTGATGAGGTTTGTTTTGCAATTTTTACATATTTCAAAAAAGTACAAAAATTGTGCCTATCCAGCAGCGGTGGTAGGCATTACCTTTTTTATTCAGCACTTGTATTGCTGAGAATACTATGCATGTTGTAAGCACTGTTCTGCTTTTCTAAAGCTTTCTTTAGCTTTAGCTCTTCTAACTTTTTCCATAATTCTTCACGTTCCAATTCCTTCTTTTTCTCTCTGTAGACAAATAAGAATTTTTGTAGTCAGAAATTTTTATCTGAGAACCTCAAGAAAGGTGCTGTATGTGGAACTAACTATACTGGAACACATGCACACCCACATTCACTTATAAATGCCATCAAGTGTTTGAGTCCAATTACCTGGAGCACCTGATTTCTTCTCGTCACTCTCCTAACTTTAATTCCTAAATCTGTGTCTCCTGTATCAACTGACAGCTCCTACTCTCCTCACCACCACAGTGCTTTCTAATCCACAAAGTACTGGTAGATGAATGTTCTCCCATCAGCCTCCTGTGGTCACTGGAACAGTTACAGTCATTCCTGTCTGGTCAGCCCCTGCAGGGCCCTGTACATCTCAAGTCACTACATTGAATCCTACCATCTCTCATCCCTTCTTACATGGCCGACTAAGGCTTGAGGGCTGGAAAAGTCTCTTCCCCACTCCACCCTCCAAAACAACAAATACATGTTCATTTCAATGAGTTATAATTTCATTTGTACAGAAAATCACCCTCAGTAATTAAAATCAAACCATAGTCCTGCATTGCTTAACGTCCACAATTATGTTCTGTGAAATACTAACTGTGATTGAGCCATTGTGCAAAACACATACTGCTATATGCAGGCAAGTCCAGATTTTGAACAAGTTCCGTTGCTAAGTGTATCTTTACAGTCAAATTTGTACAACAGTTACAGTTCAAATCTAATGTCAGTCAAATGTCTTAGTATGTAGCATACCTTTCTATACATGAAAAAACACCTTGAGATACACTAAAACATCTCGAGTGTACATCACAAGGAATTAACCCATCTGTTATTACGAACTACTGTATGTACCTGAAAGTTTTAACATAATAAGCATATCAGAGGTTGAGACCACAGACCTCTGTAGTCAAACATTGCCCACTCAGACTGTTACGTGGTGCAGAAAAGCTTTCTGGCCACGTAAAACAAGAACTTACATGATTTAAGGGGACAAAGGTGATGATTTATGCAGACATGGAAAAACTGATTTTTCCTCAGTTATGTTTATAAATGTTTTTCAAATATATATGTTTCATATGATCCTAAAAGTTTTTTATTCTTTACATTGCTTCCTGTATCTCAAATTGTGTGTATCTAGGTCCTATTACTGCTTAAAAGCTGTTCTTTTTTTTTTTTTAAATCATGCATTGTATTGATGGACTAAGGATAACCTTGAAGGAGGGCCATCCTTTCTCTGCATGCCACCAGAAAACCACACTAGAGATCTGTAAGAAAAATATCTATGACCTTTTCTAAATAGGTAACTGTGCACTAATACACTTTTTAGAACTGTAATCAACTAACCACCAACACCACCACCACCCACTGCAAGTTGATTCTGGCTTTGTGTAGGGTTTCTTTACAAGAGCAGAAAGCCTCATCTTTCTCCTGTGGAGCGGCTGATTGGTTTGAACTGCCTACCTTGCAGTTAGCAGCTATTATCCTCAAATGATGAATGAGCTCAAGCATAGGTTACTGCCCATCTTCTTAAGACTACTTTTGTACTTATCAAATTTCAAAACAGACAATCACTAAGCCAAATTCCCAAAGGCTGATGTGTGCTATTCGTTTTCCTTTAAAATATATTTTGTTGCAAGAAGTGAGTGGTTAAACTCTGAACCAACCTGTAGAAACCATCACTGTATGAGTTCCCTCTGGCGAAAAGAGAACTAGGCTGACTACAAGACACTACCTTGTTAAAAGCTGTAGCTCAACTACATACCAAAGTGCTGTGCAAGGACCAGCTGAAAAGTAAAGCTCACTATGAAAGCCCACGTGGACAACAATGATTTTCATAGATGTTAAGAATAAGAAATCTAATTATTAATAACATTTCAAATTCAGTATCAGTTGTGCTTTATAATGCAAACACCACTAGTCTGATAAAGTCTACGGCTTGGAATGAGATAAATAGAATTGTAATCCATATTAAATTATAATCTAACCTTCAAGGATATCATAACCTTGTTAAGTGCTGTCAAGTTGTTTATGAGTCCCAGTGACCTTGAAGAGGAGCGGCTGGTGAGTTTGATCCACCAACCTTCCAGTTCAAACCCACCTTGTGGTCCAGTGCTTTATCCTTAGTGCCATACCAGGACTCCATTAACAACCTTAAGTACTAAACATTATCATTAAATAAAGTGAATGTAAAACTGATGCTCTCGTCAGTAAACCTTCACTCAATTCACAATAAAAACTTAAGAAAAAAAATTAATGAACAAACAAAAACATTGAGGCTGCTTTATCTGGAAATGACTTCAAAGGTGGTTGTTAAATGCCATTGAGTCACAGTGACCCTGCATAGGGTTTCTGAGGAGTGGCTGGTAGGTTAGAACCACCAATATCGTGGTTTAAATCAACCTTGCAGTCCAGTGCATTGTTAACCCACAGCATCACAACCAAGATTATTTCTAAAAGGTGAGAAACTTTATTTAATATGCTACTTCTTAATATGACTTCTTAAACACTCTATTTTTAACATATTGAATCAACAAATTACATTCAATAACTTAACGTGTAATAAATTAGCAATTTGAAATATCAAATACCTTTGTCTTTCAGCTTTGTATGAGCTAGTAAGGTCATCAAAAAGCTTGCCATTCATTTCCATTAGCGTTTTCAGCACATTGTATACGAGTGCTACAATGGTCCTAAATGTGAAAACAAGCCAGTGCTGGGTTACTGGGACTGAAACAGACAGAAATCTAACACCGTCCTCTCAGATGGATGAGTATTGGCTGATAGATTTAGAGATGATGAGACTGAGGTTCATAATTTCCTCAGGACACAGCCAGTGGTGATAGCTAAAAATACCTAGTTACCTTCACTGCCACTCTAGGGTCTCAAAGCTAAATACCTTGACTAACAATAGTAAAAGATGAAAATGATCAAACTGCAATAGTTTGTTAGAAGAAAAGGGAAAAACTGGATGAAAACAGTGTTAGAGAAGTTAGATGATCAGCCCAGCTCCGCATTGGCAAGAGTGGTTGCACCCTCCATGAATGGGGGCTGGTCTCACCAATAGGTGTGAATATTCATTGGGTGAAGAAGGTTACCAGCTAAGGGTTCCCTTCAAAGAGATGTGCAATTTCAAGTTGAAGTTAGGACCTCTTAAACAGCATACAGACACACACATTTACAACTTTATAAAGTTGTATTTATAGAAAACAATGAAGTTGGATGGTGGTGACCTTTGAATAAATTCTAAATTTGTAAAGATTTCATGTATGAGTTAGAAGATCAAATGACTAAATATTAACATATACACACAAAAAATATGACCAACATAAAAGACACTTACGGATTCCAGTGTTCTTTGGAGATTTTGTACAAACTGCCAAACATAATTGGCAGAATTTTGTCAATGTTCTCCTCAATCAAGCTAAGAATATATTCATTATTCCAGAAGTACAATGCCCTTTCTGCAACCTAAGGAGACATTCAGAACTGTCAAAAACTAAAAGGCAAAAAGAACCGTATAAAAGAAAACTGGCATCACTGAGTACATCATACCTGAAAATGAGAGCTGGACACACACTTGGAGATCTGTTTAAAGAGCGGCTCTTCAATTTTTTTGAACTGTGTTGGTTCAATGACATCTAGGATTTCTTCAATTTCTCCTAAAAACATCACCTAGGTTAAAAAAATTTTCTTTTAAGAAACATAATATGACAAAATATGTGAAAGTTAATATAGAAACCATATGAATGAGAAGATTAATCTACAAATGACACAGTAAGCAAGATAGCAGCAGGTCTGGACAGCAGATGCTACACCTATAGTCTCCCTCTGAGCCCACAGAAAGGCTACCAGTCTGCAGCAGTGTCAGTGAAGTCAGGTCCAAAGAATCTTGGCTTTTAGCCCTGGATTTGAGAAGTTCTGATGAAATGCAGAATTTTATTTCATTAACAAAACCCACCTCTTTCTGACTGCATGTTTTTGGCCAAAATTTTAGCAATCCTCTAATCACCTGGAAAAAAAGGAAAAAATAACATGAGTTAACAAAATAAACTTCCAACAGTTGTGGTTATATCAGTCTTCATTCTAAAGTAGATCAGTATTATTTAATACCTAAGTATACACCCAGGCTTTCTGCTCAGCTTTGTATTTTACTCAGTTCAGCACAGGGGTGTGATGAGTCAGGACAAACTCGACTGCAGTGGGCTTTTAAAATTAGGTACCAAATACTATTCTAGATGGTAGGGACCTACTAGTTAACAGGAGAGATGAAGAATCCCTGATTTCTGGGATTCTGATGCAGAGAGACTAACAGTAAGTAAGCAATTAAAATACAGAAATATAATCTTTTAATAGTAATAAGTTCTATGAAGAAAATACAGGAAAATATGATAATGGCTTGGGCATGGTCCTCACCACACCAACTTGGTGGGAAGTTACTTTAGGGAGCAGCATTAAGGAACAGATAATGCCTATTAATCAAACTGTAAGAGTTTCCCATGTCACAAACAGACCAAAATACAGCAAAACACAAGAATAGGACCATGGATTTAAGTGAACACAGTTACAAAAAGCTGTATTAAATATATACTGCTACATGCCCAACTATATCTTATTCCAGAAATGCCAGCATGGTTCCACTTAGAGGCTGAAAGGGAAATGGGGTGAGAAACCCATTTAAAAAATATATATATATGATCATCTTAAAAGATTCTAAAGTCACTAAATATTTACTATATTTTTGTGTAATAGTAAGCTACCACTAAGAGTATCAGTAACAATGAACAAGCACCTTACATAATGGCTTTAGAAACAGGCTGTAAAGCCACCTGTTTGGTAGATCATGCTTTGGGGGAAATGCATCTGTAATAGACATTTAAGTTTATTTCAGTTATTAGTTTGGCCCAATAATGAGGGACACTCATCTGAATTAAAATTGAGAAGAACATCGATCTGGAATAATAAAGCAAGAAAATGTTCAAGAAATGCTTAAAACATATGAAGTAAAACTGTACTGAAGGCCATGGAAGACTACAAATAGATGAGACAACTCAATACTGTACAGACATTATCTCTCCTCTACTTCATCCACAAGTTTAAGCTTCAATACCAGTTGAATTCTTTCATTTATTAAAAAAATCCATAAATCTAAGCAAATTTAAATGTAAGAACTTGCTTTGTTTTGTTTTGCAGGGTGGGGGGAATCAAGAACTAATGAAAAGGAACCTGCACTACTTACATCAGCAACTTAAGAAAAAAACACATGAAACAGAATACTATTTAATTCCTCAGAAAACAGATGGCGGCTTAGTCATTTAAATGGTGGTAACTGGCACAATAGGCCCTCCTATTAGGAAAAAAGAACTCAGTAGGCTGACTCCTAAGACGACCCCTCCTCCCAGGATCCTTGTCTCTTAGTATTCACCCCCTTGTGTACATGACCCCTTCTAGACTGTGAGCTGCTCTGGTGACTTGTTTGTAACCAGTAGAATGTGATAAAAACCATGGACTGACTGCCACTTCCACCAGAACGTTACAAAAGACTGGATCTTACTAGCAGACTCTACTGTCTCCTTGGCTTACAAGCTTTGAGGAAGCAACTACCATTTTTAGAGAGGCTCACATGGCAAGGAACTGGGGTGGCCTCCAGCCAAGAGCCAGTTAGGAACTCAGGGCTTTATTCAAATAGCGCTTCAGGCGCTGAATTCTGCCAACAACCAACCACAGGAACTTGGAAGCAGACTCTTCACTACTCCAGTCTTTGTGTGAGACCTAAGACCTGGCAAACACGTTGATGGCCACCTGAGTAGAGACCCTGAGGCAGAAGACTCAGCTCAGTTGTGCTCAGATTCCTAAGCTACAGGAGCTGATAGATGATAAATATATTATTTGAAGCCACTAAATTCTGTGATAATCTATTGTGCAGCAATACAGTAGTTCTTTATCCTCATCATACACAAAAATCAATTTCAGAGGGTATAGTAGGGTGAATGTTGATTCCCAAAAAGTTATGCCAACATCCAAGTCTCCAAAACCCACGAATGCGATGTTACTTGGAAAACTGGTCTTTGCAGATGTAATTAAAGATCACGAGGTGAAATCATCCTATCTTATTTGGTGGGTCCTAAATCCAATGACAAATGTCCTTATAAGACAAGCAAAGACCAAAAAGGGGAGGTCATGTGACCACAGAGGCAGCACCTGGAGAAATGGGGCTAGCAAGGACTAGAACCTCCCCAAGAGTTTCTGGAAGGAGCGCAACCCTTTTAACACCTCCACCCAGGACTTGTGCTGTGACAGAACACATTTCTGAGTTTTCCTTATGTCACTACGTTTGTGATAACTTGTCACGGCAGCCCTAGGACACTGATATAAAGGGGAAAGACACAAAGGCAAAACCCACGTTCATAAAGAGCTATTAGAGAACATTTTTATAACCTCAGGGAGTAGAAAGATTTTTCTAGTTTACCAAAGCTAGAAAAGAAAGAAAGGTGAATAGAGTTTACTACAGAATATCTAAAGTTTCTGTAAGGCCAAGATTAAAAGTTTAAAGAAAAACGGACTTCAAATGGAAAAATACTCTGGTAGCATAGTGGTTACGAATCGGGCTGCGAACCTTAAGGCCAGCAGTTCGAAACTACCAGCCGCTCCGTAGGAGAAAGATGAGGCGTTCTGCTCCTGTAAATATTTACAGCCTCGGAAACCCTGTACACGGTCGCTATGGGGTCGGAACCGACTCAATGTCACTTAACAACAACAACATAATATGGACAGGGATAAAAATCAGCAAAGAGCAAAGAAATAGGAACAATCATTAAATACATGAAGGGAGCATAGTGTCTCTGTAGGATTAAGTAATGGACTGCAAACCACAGGCTCACAGGTTTGAAACCACCAGTTACATGGCAGGAGAAAAGTAAGGGTTTCTGCTTCCACCAAGATACAGCCTCTGAAACCCTATATAGGGTCGCTGTGAGTCTAAACTGATCCAACAGCACTTAACAACAAAACATTTTATAAAGGGTGACTCACTCGCTGTATTTATTTTCCTAAAGCCAGTTAAAATAATATTTCATACGTAGCAAACGTTAGCAGAAATTTTTTTCTATTAAGATTTGGTAGCAGCTGGGGTTAATACTGAATCCAGGCAGCTTCACACTCTGGATTAGAAAATAAAATTTTACAATCTTTTTGGAAGGCAACTTGAAATACGTTACAATTTGTATGTGCCCTTTAATACAGCGAAACAGGCTTTTCAAATTTTTCATTTTTTAAAATTTCCAGATTTTTTTCCCCTTTTTTGGCACATAGTTCTGAGAGTTTCTACATGTTCAAAGATTGGTGTGTGTGAAATGTCTGTGAACTGAGCGAAGTCTACAGAGTAGATCATCAGTTTCACAGTCAACAAACCGTATCCTTAGCTTCATATCTCATTAACTGCAATCCCCTCCCTGCAACAACAGTTACTCCATTTCCTCCCTGTGATTCCTATTTTCATTCTTCCCTTCTTCCCAAGCCTTCTCAACTCTGTCCTTATGTAAACGTTGTCCCCCCTACATACCTACTGACTGGCTGAAAAGCGGACCACAAGGTAAGTTCTGTTTCAGACCTGGAGGGTGCTTAAGGGTCACAGTCTCAGGTTCCTCCAGTCTCTTGCTGACAGCTAAACCTGGCTTTGTTTATATGTAATTTTGAATTTTGTTCCACATTTTCTCCCATTCTAACCAGGACTTTCTAATGTGGTCCTTTTACATGTGTACAGATTTTTGTAACCACCACCACAGATGGTATGCAGAATAATTCCAACACTCCTCAAAATGTCCTCATTCAGCAACATGTTTTCAACAATGAAAAATTCAAATAATTCAAGTGTTCATGAATAAAAGACCAAGAAAATAGATTAGAATGACCAAATAATGAAATTTAATGATAATGGTGAAAAATAAAACTAATCAATACGGAAAGGTATCTCTACTACATTGAGAGGTAAAAAAACTTGGGCAGCACGGTCCCACTCTTTATTTAACCTATATATGAATATGTTGTTGTTAATGCCATCAAGTCGGTTGCGATTCATAGCAACCCTGTATAGGTTTTCCATGGAGCAGCTGATGACCTTGAACCTTGTGGTTCAAACTGATCTTGAGGTCCAGTGTTTTATCCCACAGCGCCACACCAGGAGTCCTATATGAATATAGATATAGAGAAAAATTTCTAGAAATTCACCAATTTGTTATTTCTAGGGAATAAGATTATACTGTACCTTATATGTTTTTGTATTATGAAAATCAATTTAAAACACATTACTTTTAAAAACAGAAATAACCAATGTTATTTCTATTTTAGAAAATTATTTCAATGCAAGATGTGTGTGTGTGTGTGTGTGTGTGTGTATATATATATATATACATACACATAAGTGCCGTCAAGTCAATTCCAACCCATAGCAACCCTGTATAGGGTTTCCAAGGAGCAGCTGGTGAGCTTGGACCACCAACCTTGCAGTTCACCAACTTTACAGTCTGAGGCATTAGCCCACAGCGCCACTCCAGGACTCCATATTTCCGACTCATAGCAACCCTGCATTGGGTTTCTGAAGCTATATATCTTTAGGGGAGCAGAATGCCCCATCTTTCTCCTGCAGAACAGCTAGTAGTTTTGAACTGCTGACCTCGAGGTTAGCAGCCTAGCCTGACTTGTAATCACTACGCTACCAGAGCTGTGTGTGTGTGTGTGTGTGTGTGTGTGTGTGTACGTACTATGCTCTGGTACCAACCTCCCAGATTGCTCACTGCCCATTAGGCATCCCTTACACACACATCATGGGGTGGTGGTGGTCAGGTGTTGCCCACTGCCTTCCACATAACACCCTGCTGGGGGCCTCCACAGCCCATGTGACCTCTGTTTCGCTCTCCTCTTTCCCACCTCCCCCTACTAACCTCTCAGGGACCTCGGGGCTCTCGGTCAGGCTCCTTCTGTCTACCTGAAACCTCACAACATCTGGTGTTGCTGCCCCTCACTCTTCATGGCTAGCCATTGTCAGTGGCTGTCCCTTGTGTGGACTGGTTGTCACTGGGGCCTCTGGCCTATAGACCCATCTGTGGCCCCATGTGGGGTCCAGCCTATCAGAGGCATTGCCAGAGAACTTTTTCAAAGTTGTTTTACATGCAAAATGTCAGACAAGATCGTTAATAAGTGAGACATAGGTACAATTTGTAGGAAGTTTTGATACAGATCCTAAATGATAATTATGGATTGAATTGTATCCCCCTAAAATATGTGCTGTAAATCCTAATTCTTGGAGTGGTCATGATTCCATTTGGAATTTTTGTTATCTTAATGAGACATTTGTCATAAGTCAATCTTTTTGAAGATATGTTGTTAAGTGCTGTCGAGTTGGTTCTGATCCTTAGCAACCCTGTATAGGGTTTCTGAGGAGCTACTGGTAAACTTGAACCTCCAATATGTGGTTCAAACCAGCTTTGCAGCCCAGCGCATTAACCCACAGCGCCACATTATAGTAGCACTAAATAACTTGGGAGTCCTGGTGTGGCGTTTGGGTTAATGCGCTGGACTGCAAAGTGGGTTTGAACTGCAAGGTCGGTGATTTGAGCTCACCAGCTGCTTTTGGAAACCCTATATAACAGGGTCACTATGTGTCGAAACCAATGCAACAGCACTTGACAACAACAACAACAAATAACTAAGATACTAGGTTTCCATAAAATGGGTATTAAGACTCAAACCCAAGTAATATTAATTGTAGCACCATGATTTTGGTACTAGAATGGTCCATGGTAGAAATTGCAAGATATCTGTATCTAGACATTTTTATGAACTGAAAGTATTTCCCTTTACTAACCTGGGTATTTACCTTACTATCATCTCCTCATTCTGCTCCTATTTCCATTCATTCACCTCACCCAAACCAGATTATCTGGCCATCAATACTGGCCATAAGTACTCTCTAAAAAAGGAACCATCCATTTTCCCTATCCATTCCAATTTTAATTCAGTAAAATCACATTTGTTTACTATTTAGAAAGCATCAATTATGACTTAATATGGGTTTCCCATTTTTGAATTTCAGTAGGAGTTAACAAGGATTTATATTGTTTTCATCTACATTAGAGGTTTTATACAGTTCCAAACAGCCGCTCCTCAGAAACCTTATACAGGGTCGCTATGGGTTGGAACTGACTCAATGGCACTTAGCAACTTTGTTATAAAATATAAATATTGGGCTTCTAATGGTCCTGGTGTGGCGCTGTAGGATAAACACTGGACTGCAAACCACAAGGTCATAGGTTGAAACTCACCCGTCACTTCTGGAAACCCTATACAGGTTTGCTCTGAGTTAGAACGCATTCAACTGCACTAAACAACAACTACAACATTCCTGATTTGTCTTTAGTAATGGTTTTTAGCCATTTCCAGAAAGACCTATAAGTCTGAAAGTCTAAAAAATTCTCAGGATCAAGGAGAGAAAAATTATCTTTTGTTTCTTTACACAAAGTTCAAGTCAAAGGAAAAATATTAACATAATTTTTTCAAGCACCTATTAAGAACCCTATACAGGGTTGCTATGGGTGGGAACTCAACGGCACTTAACAACAACATTAAGAACCTCAGAAGATTCTTAACATAAAGAAAATCTTGTGATTTTAGGTCTTCAATCTCTTGGATACTTGTAAAGAACTATTTCAGCTCAAGTATTTAGATTCCAGTGCCATGGAAGTAGTCTTCAAAATATGTATTTCATCAAGATTAAAATGCAGTTTGCTCTCCTCCATATTTTTCTACCTATTACCCTCTACTGCAGCTTTTGTTGTTCTTCAATCTTCAGTCAAATTTCACGACAATTAATTATCCTTTTACTATCTCCTTAGCCTGCAGTTTATTGGCAAATTAAAAATTTAGATGCTATGCTGATTCATAAAGTAAACCTTCATTCCAAGATCATCTTAAGGAAATGTTTTTAACCCCTATCACATGGTTCATCACTAACAAGAGGGAAAATTATTCCTTTAAAATTTTTTTGAAGGGAATACTTTTGGGACACTCACAGTATATTTTTAATTCTAAAAGATAGAGATCTTAAAACATTAATTTCAAACTGCGGTCATCTGATTCCATCATCATACATCTCAAGTATTATGTAAATATTAATCTATGAACTGAGAGGCTGGCAGTTCAAACCCACTAGCCACTTCTTGGAAACCCCATACACAGGGGTTGCTATGCGTTGGAACTGACTCGGTGGCGACTTGAACAGCAAGAATTTATTTAAGGCACAGACAACTCACGACAACTCCCTCTTTTTCCAACCTGCAGATTCTGTCTCAAAGCAGATTAACCTCACATTACTTCATCTGCATAGTTTTTTTAAAACTACTGTTTGACAAGTCTAGACTGCTATAAAGAAAGCTATAATGCACACCAAAAACATTAAACAATCAGATTACTTACTGGTTCTGTTAATGTCGTATCTTTCTCCAGGAACTGCACAACACAATAGGCTAGCTAAAATGTAAAAGACAATTTACAATATTACTGAGTGAAATCATACTCAGATGCAGGATTTAAAAATATTTAACAAAAGAGACTCCCTCATTTTCAGAAATTGCATTCTAGCTTATTTCAATATAAAAAAATAAGTATGTGTACTCACAACTGTATAATTTTTTAACCTTGAAAGTAACTCCTAGTTCAGAAAAGACCGTCTTTTTTTATTTTTTCAAGCAATTTTTGAATATAAAGTTAACTGAAATAAGACTAAAGCTACCATGTTTTCATATATATGCCTAAGCTGATAATATGGTATTGCAAGTGGTTCCTCATTTATAGCACACTTAAAACTAAAAGGAATCGCACTTACGACTTTTTTTATACATCTTATTATTAGCAATATGTACTTCATACAATGGTGTGGCACATAATCTGCTGATGTTATCATTCTCATGTCAATCCCCAAAGACAAAGAGTGGCTTTATAAGGATATTGATAATGAAAGGAAATAATAATGAAAACTAAAAAAAAAATTAAAAAAATAAGACGGTCTTTGACTTAACATCAGAATTAACTTATGACAGTTATTGGAAGAAGAACCCTGTTCTAAGTCAGGAATTACCTGTAGTCTCAAATGTTAATGTTGTTATGTACCGTGGAGTCGGTTCCAACTCATAATGACCCCGCACAGGGTTTCTCAGGCTGTAAGTCTTTACGGGAGCATAAAGCCTCATCTTTCTCCCACGGAACCACTGGTAGTTTTGAACAGCCGACCTTGAGGTTAGCAGCCCAAATCATAACCACTATGCTACCAGAGCAAATGTTAATAGAGGAGTCTAAAATCTTTCTCTAACTAGATTACCCTAACTAGAAGAACATCCTGCAGATATGTGAGATTTACTCAATGTTGGTATAGTCAATTAGGCCCAGCAGGACCTGAACCAGAAAATATGGGAATTTGATATTATCTTTCCTACATCTATACTTGGGAGTCCTGGTGTGGCGCTATGGGTTAATGTGCCAGACTGTAAAGCCATTTGAACTGCAAGGTCAGTGGTTCAAGCTCATCAGCTGCTCCTTGGAAACGCTATACAGGGTTGCTATGGGTTGTAATCGACTCAACGGGCACTTAACAACATATCTAAGAGTACATTGATCTTTTTAATTAGCCCTAAGCATCATAATACTTTAAAATTATGATATAATAAAAAGTACTTTGGGTAATTTACAAAACAAACATTATCTTTAAATTTTCACTTCAATATTTCTCAATTTCTCTACCTTACATGTTAGTCTTTGAATCCATTTGAAGTTTTTCTGAAACTTACCTGAGCATGAAACAAAGCTAGTCCTTTTGCAGTATGCATAGGAATAAGAACCTTCATTAGAAACTGTTTATGTTCTGCTTTCAGTGGCAATGCAAAGCCATTGATAATACTAGAGGGAAAAAAAAGGCAGGAAGGGTTAAGCAGTTACTATCTTCTTTCTAAAGTTATTTTATCATGACTACATTTATGGAATATTACTGTTTCAACCTTGGGGTCTTTTGGCTGACTCATCTAAGGAGTAAACTAGAAAGAATTTTCTAAGAAGAGTGTCTTCTGATCATTCAACAATGCCAAAAGAAAATTAGGATTGTCAAACCATGACCCACTACGACATTTATGAGCCCTGGTGTGGCACTAGAGGATAAGCACTGGACTGGTAACCTACCAGTTGCTCTCGGAAGCCCATACAGGGTTGCCAAGCCCATACAGGATGGCACGCAACAACAGGTAATTAAGACCTTTGTTTTTCTACAAGGCCTATCACTTAGTTTATGCCGTGTACCTTCACTTTTCCTTCCTAAAGCTATAGAGAGTCAACATCATAATACTGTCTTGCTAGATGTTCAATATTTTCTGAAGTAAATGGACGCCAAGTGCCTCTAATGCCACTGGAAATCTGAAATTAAGAAGGCATTCTTTTCACAATGACTCTCTCAACACTACATTGTTGGTAAGTGCCTTCACATCGGTTGCAACTCACAGCGACCTTGTATATGGTTTCCAAGGAGCAGCTTGTTGTTGTTGTTGTTGTTAAGTGCCATCGAGTCGGGTCCGACCCATAGCGACCCTGTACAGGGTTTCCGAGGGTGTAAATCTTTACGGGAGTAGAAAGCCTCATCTTTCTCCCGCGGAGCGGCTGGTAGTTTCGAACCGCTGACCCTAAGGTTCGCAGCCCGATTCGTAACCACTACGCTAAGGAGCAGCTAGTGGGTTTGAACTGCCGACCTTGTGGTTAGCAGTCCATGGCTTATCTTACAGCACCGCACCAGGACATTAAAAAGGAGACTGAGATCATTCTCTAAATAGTAATAAAGAGGTGTAAAATTCTCTCAAGTTACTACTGCGATGCGGTGAATAAGGAAAGCAAAATATTCATGCAAAATATTCATGCAAATGAAAACCAGACTTAAAGATTCTTCTAGAAAGAACAGATGGATTAGGAACGGTCTACCAACATCTGAACAAGAATTCTTGTAAATTCATCAAAGATTCACTATAGCTTATTTCATCTCTTCCCAATCAGATCCTATATGTTTCGGTGGCAGTCTGGCAGTTTGGCAAGATGAGAAATAAAACATGCCACTGCTTCAAACGCAGGAAGTCTGTGCTGAAATAGATGTCTTGCATGGCAGTACTTTAATATGCTGACCCTCTAAAGAGCTATAAGATCTCAGCTAAGAAACCATGTCTTGTGCTCCATGTTTAAGTCCTAAAATAAAATAATGTCTCCAACCCCAGCCAAGATTTTAATTAATTCTTTAAAAGAACAAAAAAACTTGACCTACCTTCCTAATATTTCAAGGAGCTCAGCAACACCATTGAAATGTTCTGTTTCATATATAAACCTAAATTTAAAATAAAAATAAACATAACAGGAATCAAACATCAAAAAATAAAGAGAAAAGGCAGGGAGGTAAAGAAATCAATCTTTAAGGAAGATTGGAAACAACTACAGAAAACACACAGGCATGCTTCAGGTTTTCTTTATAACGGAATCTGTCCCAAATCAGTTACTTTATAGCAATCGTACAAACAGCAGGTCTATTGTCTATTTGACCACATAGGCCACTGTCAACACTTGCTATTCAGTAAGATAACACAACAGTGTTTCACCTGGAATATTCTATGTTATTTAGTAATTTATAAGAAAGATGGGTTTTCTCAAAGAAATGTTTTCTAAAATGGAAAATATCTACTTTTATAGGTAAATCCAAGAAAAGATCAATATGTAATGAAGTCATTTTTATTCAGAACTTATCTAAATCTTAAGTTCAGGAACACCTTTAGAGCTGAGGTCATAAAATCAGTGACTACAGGGCCATGCAGGGTTCCTAAATGACTGAAGTGGCTAGGGAGGGATGGCGGGAAACTGGAAAGACACGCTTCCTTCTAAAAGAGGCAGCTGTTACTCAGCTGCCAATTACAATGTCAACCTGTTGTAATTTTCCAGCTTATCAGTTACAACAAGAAACACAGAACTATGGCTATTACTGTGAAAGCTCTTGATTTGAAGCAACTTCTTTAATAGATTAACATTTATAGTCAAAAGAAAGCCCTCGTGTAAATTTTTATCAAATGAAATTACTTCCAAGCGCTATTGGTTAAAAAGGGTTTAAAGGGAAAACATTTTTTTAAAGTTATAATAAAGTTTTAACTTTTAAAATTAATAAAATTTTTATTATCCATGTATTCTTGTTAAAAGGAAAATTTCCTTTAATTTAAAATTCTAAAACGTCAATATTACAAACAGAAATTAATCTTTACTCAAACAATTATTTATTCTATTTTCCAAGTTAACCAATAAACTGAATAGAATTTTTGCTTTATGATAAACTGTATAACACTGTTCACTTTAAGTTGAAAATTTATTGCTTAAAGGATACTAGGATACTTAGTTGCTTCTTTAGAATGGCACTATCAAAGGCTGGGCCGATTTGTTACTAGAAGGCAGCCCAAATTTTTCAACACAAACTTCAGAGAAATAGACAAGATAAATTCTGTTCTGTATACACACATGTCTTCACACATGACTAACACTGACACTGTCTATTTCAAAACTGTCACAACAACCATCCACTTAGGTGAGCAGTGGGCTACAATCACAGGATAGCTACAAAATAACTAAAAATATCTCAAATACCAATATTTAAATTTGCAGTTTTCAGAAATGGGGGATGAGAGAGGGAAGAAAACTGCTAAGTATGACCTATTTACCTGAGGAAAATGTTGTTAATTTGTTTTCGGATGAATGCTCTTAGTCCGAGAAATTTCCCATAAATTCGATGCAGAACCGTCTTCAGGAAGTCACGTTCTCTCGGGTCTTCACTATCAAACAGCTCCAGGAGCTTTAAAACAAATCTGAAAAATTACTTTTAAAGAATAACCGAGCTAAAATGTCACTTTACTGTAATTCTAACTTTAAGATTTACCCATGAAATCTTAAAAAAAAAAAAAAAGAACATAATAAATACTACAAACATTTTTTAAAAAGTGCTTTTTTTTTTTTGGCCTTGCCCTTTGATGTTAAAATTCTATCTGACTCTTCACTATTAAACATGGCTCAAAATTCTGTGTTGAAATTTTAGAGACTGATAACGCTTTCTGTTAGTAAATCTAAACAATATCCAGAATCTTAAGCTTTTAGATGACAAAAATCATTAAAGAAATAAAGATTTTAACTACGTTATCTGGAAATATTTATTTCTAACTTACTAGGAAAATTGATCAAATCTGTACTTTGGTGTGGTTTTTTTTGCAGTTGTATGTGTGATTTTACATGAAAAAAAATTTTAAGAGGGTCATCATGCCATTAGCTCAGAAATTAATTTTCACTTATTTGTCAGAACTATTGGCAGATACGTGCTTATACAGAGGGGGAAAATCATACATGAAATAACACTGAAATAAAAGATGAAACATATTTTTATTTAAAGTCAGCTTAGCAAAACAGCTGCAAGATCCTAAACCAGTTCAAATTGGTCAGATTAGCTGTCCTACATCTTTAGTAAATACTTGGATAAAGAGAACTTAGAAAATTTTTAAGTAAAAAAATTCAAATTTCTATTTTAAAATGGTAAAGAAACTTTAATTTCCTGTCATGAAAAACCATATCTTAAATGAAACATGAGATTCTTGAAAAGGAAAAAATACAAAAGAATCTCTATAGAAAAAAGTATCTATGGTGTCATGGTGTGGCATTATGCGATAAAGCACTGGACTGAAAGGTCAATGTGAACCTCAAGGTTGGCAGTTCAAACTCACCAGCACTTACTGGAAACCCTATACAGGGTCACCATGAGTTCGAACCAATTCGACAGCACTTAACAATAACAATGAAGTCATCAATCAATCTTGTGTTCTATACTATGGTATTGCTAAAGATGGAAAGCTCTGAACTTCAGTAGCAGTGCTATTCTATTCTGTCTTGAATTATATCTGATTGTTTACATGCTCATCTTTTCTACTAGAGTGGACATTTTTTAAGAGTAGTTACGATTTACCCGGATGTCATCAAGTTGATTTTGACTCCTAGTGACCCTATGAGTGTCAGAGTCAATCTTGCTCCCAAGAGTTTTCAATAACAGATTTTTCAGAAGTAGACTGCCAGGTCTTTCTTCTGAGGTGCCTCAGAGAGAGAGGTCAAAACCCCAACCTTTCGGCTAGCAGGTGAACATGTTAACCTCTTGCACCATCCAGAGACACCAGTCCTGACTTGAATCATATTTACCCCTGGGTGTTGCAAATAGTTCAGTTCTCCTCTCAACTTCTAGTAGTGTGAACCTATCTAGAGGTATGCCTGCAATCTTCTATTAAAAGGTCACAAGCTTAAGACTGTATGGAACAATACTAGTACTCTACACACATGAAGCTGAAAAGAGTTGTCATCAAGTCCGTGGCAACCAGCAGCAACAACAAATGAGCACCTTGCTTACAGTTTGTAGTCTGCTCTTTTGTTACGTTGTTGCATGTGGCTCCAGCAAAAAATATCCATTGAGGGTAAAACTTATGTTGCTGGTAAGTGACAATGAGCAGCTGGTGAGTTTGAACCACCGACCTTGCGATTCAAACTGACCACACGGTCCAATGCTTATCCTACAGCACCACACCAGGACTCCAAGGACTAATAATATACCTACTAAACTTAGTTCAAATTATTCTAAGATAAAATGGCTAAACTACAGACATTCAAATTCAAGTCTCTATGTTAAGATTATTTACAAGATGTGACCTCATATTAATAAATCAAATCAAAGTCACCGCCAATGAGTCAATTCCGACTCACAGTGACCCTAGAGGATGGAGAATTGTTCCTTAGGGTTTCTGAGCCTGTACATCTTTACGGGAGCAGACAGCCTCATCTTTACATTAATCACAGGTGTCCTTAATTGTTAAGGTCTTCATGTGTAATCCTTGGTGGTGTGGTGTTAAGCCTTGGGTTGCTAACTACAAGGTTGGCGGTTCAAACTCTTCAGTCACTCCAAGGGCAAAAGATTAGGTTGTCTGCTCCCATGAAGATTTACAGTCTCAGAAACAAACCCTAATGATCTGTTCTACTCTGTCCTATGAGGCCACTATGAGTCTAAACTGATTCCATGGCAGATAGTTTGGCTTTCGATTTCATGTCTTATTCAAGTACAAATACACATATGAAACGTAATAGACATCTTAAAATATAACACTCCAAACAAAATAATCTATTCAGAAATGTAATGTTCATGTAATAAAACACGAAAGAGCCCCTGGTAGCACAGTGAATTACAAGATGGACTGCTAATTGCAAGGTCAGCAGTGTGAATCTACCAGTTGCTCTGTGGGAGAAAGATGAGGCTCTCTGTTTCAACAAGCTTTGTAGCTTTGAAAACCTTATACATGGTTGATATGAGTAGGAACCGGCTCAATAGCACACTACACCATCACCACTATAATGAAACACACAAAAGACTCAGGAAGTTTTTTTTATCCTGTCTCTGATATTTATAAATTGAGAACAGTTCTAACAGTTCTTTATTTTTCAAAAGAGGGTACTAACACGTTCAGAGGGTCCAGTCCAATTAATTTGATTGTACTCCCTATTAGCTGTGTGCACACAGATATGGTCTGGCTCTTAATATACATAAAAGCATGTAATGACAGTGTCTGGCACATAAGGAAAAACACAACAACAATACTATCACTGAGTCAATACAGTAACTTTCTATAGAGCAGGAGTCCTGGTGCAATACAGTAGGAAAAGCACTGGACTGCTAACCACAAGATTGGCAGTTCAAACCCACCAGCCACAACTTTGAAACCCTATGCAGGACCGCTATGAATCAGAGTCAACTTGACAGCACTTAACAACAACAACACAGGACAGAGTACAACAGTTCCTTAGGGTTTCTGAGACCGTAAATCTCTACAGGAGTAGACAGCCTTTCTTTCTTTCTTGGAGCAACTGGTGGGTTTGAACCACTGACCTTGCAGTTAGCAGCCCAAGTGACTAACTCACTGTGCCACCAGGGATCGAAAACATACACAAAAAGCATTCACTAATATTTCAGTTTCTTCTTTTCTTCTGAAATTCTGACTGAACATAAATTAGAATTATGCAATTGTTTTCTTCTCTTGCCTTTACATTTCTCCTGTATTTCTAAGTTTTAAAACGTACCACACAATCAAGTAATTTCAAGATGCAAAAACTGAGAATTACTAATACACACTATCTATGAAAGCGACACACTAAAGAAACACCTCAGAGAGGTGGTATCTGGAAGCATACTCATATAAACGGCTAAAAACAAATGATTGGGCCTTGGCTTCTCAGGTAATTCAAGTATACAAGTAGAAAACGGGTCCTACCCTACCAGCTTTCTTCTTGTTCCTCTCAAACCTCCTGAATCATCTAGTAGCCTACTCTAACCTAACTGAGAAGGCACCGAGGTAACTGTTACCCTCAACCTGCTATTATCATTATTGTTAAGTGCCGTCAAGTTGCACAATTTAATATGGCATTTCTACACTTCTTGATGTATCTATCTCACACAAGGAAGTAAGTGTGCATTCACTTTGATTACCAAAATAACTTGTTGTTCAGTACTCCTAAATTGGTTCCAACCCATAGCAACCCTGTATAGTGTGTCTGAAGAGCAACTAGTGAGCTTGAACCTCCAACCCTGCGGTTCAAATCAACTTTGCAGTCCAGCACATTAACCCACAGCGCCACACCAAAATAACTTAACTCTACTTAATTTGACTTTTCTTCATGACTGAAATGTGCTTTATACTGTTAACACACACCTGATATTTGTATTTTACAGCCACGTCAATGCTGAAGGACATATTTCATGCTGGCAATATTCTTTTTTGATACATATGCAGCAATATGTCAGAAGACTTTGTATAAGGTTGGGGGTTACTATGAATGACTGAAAGTGAACTCAAAGTATATGAACTGAAAGTATATGAAACTCATGCTTGCTGAATCTCTGCCACAGAAGAGACACAAAGGTGGTCTGAAGGGTTGGAAATGTCCTGATGATGATTTTAATCCTGGCCTCAGCATTCTGCTTATTAACACACTTTCATTAGACCCTTACACCCTTAATTAAAAATACTCTTGTATTTTCAAACAACTTCACTTTTATCCTAATTGGCAAGACTATTAAATGCTGTCAAATGAAAATAATGTCTCTGAAAAACTCAACTGCTCTAATCACAAGTTAATAAATAATTGCTAACTTACAAATACAAGAAAATTGAAGACAGAAGAGTTCCTTACCTGTTGTACAAATTTCTGATCAATGAATCTCTTCGCAATACTAGGTTGGAAATCAGGGCTCTCCAAAAATCTCAAGAAGAATTCATAGACCAACTATGTAAAAAGAATCAAATGAAAAGTAAGATTAGGTTTAAAAAATTCTACCCTCAGGGAATGCTTTTACAAAAAATTCATCACCCAAAGTCTAAACATGTAGCAGGGAGATTTCAAATCCAATTATAAAATGTGATCAGTAGATATTTTTTTATAAAACTTGTTAAGTGCCATCAAGTCAGTTCCGACTCATAGTGACGGTGATAGGGTTTCCGATGAGTGACTGGTGGGTATGAACCACTGACCTTTCGGTTAGCAGTCCAATGCTTATCCTACAGAGCCATACCAGAACTCCTTAAAAAAAAAAAAAAACCTAAATATAAGTATAATCATAATCTAGGCTCCTAAACTGGTAGATATTTTTAATTGCTTACTTTGTACCACCTGTTGAAAAATGTGAAACTACAGGAGTTAGACAATAATGATGATGGCGACAACATATGAGTGTGGCACGGCAGGATCAGCACCGGACTGTGAACTACAAGGTGAGCAGTCAAACCCACCAGCTGCTCCTCAGAAATTTTATACAGGGTTGCTTTGAGTTGGCACTTAACAACAATATAGCATTTAAGGACAAGGGGGCTTCAAAAAGCTCATAGAAAAATTCTGTTATGAGTGTCTTTTAAATCAACATTCCACAAACTTCTTGGAACCCCTTCATATTTAATTACAAAGACTATACTGGTATTGTAGTGAGTTACGTGTTGGACAGCAACCACAAGGTCAGCAGTTGAAATCCACCAGCTAGATGAGGCTTTGTGCTCCCATAAAGATTTACAGCCTAGGAAACCCTATAGAGGATCACTGTGCATTGGAACTGACTTGATAGCACACCACCACCACCACCACCACATTACAGCCCATACCCACCAACCACCAAGAATATGTTGAGTATGTCCCCTCTCCAGTGAAAGACTAATCTACCTCAATTTAAATCCTGGATCACAAACCTCCAGATAAAAATTAACTTGGCTGTAAGAGGAGCATCATATATAGAAACAATCAAGTAAAATATAAAACTTCAAGTCTTTCCATAAAACTAAAGTTAAAAAAAAACCAGCACACCCTATCCACACTTGGGAAATGAGCCAAATAATATAAGGAAAGTGCTAGGCTAGGAATAGCTGTGAACCACATCAGCTAAACTTCAAGGCATGGCAGACCTTCGCCTTAAAAAGTGCCACATATTGAAAACGACAGCAAGTGTTCATTTGCTACCACAAATCAGATTTAAAATCAGTATTTGGTTTGACTTGCAACACACCCACATCTTTCAAGGAGAAAGGCAGAAAAGAAAAAGAAAAAAGTTCTTAAAAAAATGTACTATGTTGTTATTAAGTGATGTTGAATCAGTTCTGACTCATACTGACCCTGCATAGGGTTTCCAATGAGTACCTGGCGGGTTTGAACCACTGACCTTGTGGTAATCAGTCCAGTGCTTATCCTACAGTGCCACACCAGGCCTCCTTTATGTACCACAGTGGTGGTGGTGGTGGTTATGTGCCGTGGAGTCGGTTCCGACTCATAGCGACCATGTACTGGGTTTCCGAGGCTGTAAATCTTTATGGGAACAGAAAGCCTCATCTTTCTCCCATGGAACAGCTGGTAGTTTCAAACTGCTGACCCTGAAGTTAGCAGCCCACTCGTAACCACTATGCTACCAGAGCTCCTTTTATGTACCATAGTAACTAATATAGAATTTTAGTTCACAATATGACTTTGTTGTTAGGTACCAACAAGTTGGCTCTGACTTATAGTGATCCTATGTAAAACAGTACCAAACACTGCCTGGTCCTGTGCCAACCTCATAATTGTTGATACATTTGTGCCCCGTTGTTGCTGTCTCTGTACCAATCCATCTTGTTTGGGTTTTTCCTTTTTTTCGCTGACCCTCCACTTTACTAAGTGTGATGTCCTTCTCCTGGGATTGAGTCCCTCCCAATAATACGTCCAAAGTGTAAGAGACAAATTCTTGCCATCCTCGCTTCTAAGAAGCCTTCTGGCTGCACTTCTTCCAAAACATGTTTGTTCTTTTGGCAGTCCATGGTACTTTCAATATTCTTTTCCAAACCATAATTGAAATGTACTGATTCTTCTACAGTTTTTGTTATTCATTGTCCAACTTTCCCATGCCTATGAGGTGACTGAAAATAACAAGGCTTATGTAAGGCTCACCTTAGTCCGAAAAACTAACAACTTTTCTGTTGAGCACTTGAACGAGTGTGCAGCAGATGTGCCTAATACAATACATCATTTGATTCTTTGATTGCTACTTCCATAAGCATTGAATGCGGATTCAAGCAAAATGAAGTCTTTGACAACTCATGCTGAAGTTAGTCTTTGATCTTTATCAGTTAGCACTTTAAATCCTCTTCTCTTTCAGGAAGAAAGGTTGTAGTATCTGGATATGGCAGGTTGTTAATGACTCTTCCTCCATCCTGATGCCATGTTCTTCTTCATATAATGCAATTTCTTGGATTATTTGCTCAACATACAGATTGATATGAACAGTGAAAGAATACATTCTTGATCATACCTTTGCTGATGTTAAACCATTCAGTATTCTCTTGTTCTAGTCAAACAACTACTTCTTGGTCTATATATGGGTTGCTCATGACCACAATTAAGTGTTCCGGGAAACCCATTCTTCACAATGTTATCAATAGCTTGTCATGATCCATACAGTCAAAAGCCTTTGAATAGTCAATAAAGCACAAATAAACATCTTTAAGGTATTCTGTTTTCAGCCAAGATCCATCTCATATCAGCAATGCCATCATTATCAATTCACATCTGTAAAGACTTTATGCAATCTTTACAGAAGTAGACAGTCAGATGTTTACCCAGTGAAGTCCCCAGGGTGAGTTCAAACTACCAACCTTTCAGTTAGCAGCTGAATGCTTTACTGTTTGTGCCAATACCAAAATAAAGATAAGGTTGCTTAAAATCAAGGTAATATAAGGAAAAAAATAATAAAAATTAAAAGTGTAAATAAATGAAAGAGAATAGACTACAACAGAGAACCAATGAAACTAAAATTTGATTTGTTGAAAAGCTCAACAAACAACAAATCTTTATCTAGACTGACCTTGAAAAAAATTAGACAGAAAACTCAAATTACTAAAATGGCTCAGAAAGAGGATACCACTACCGATTTTATAGAAACAAGGATGACCATGAACAACAGTATGCTAATAAGTCAGATAACTCACAAGAAATGAAGAAATTCTCAGAAAGATACCAATTACAGATATTCCACAAAGATGAGGCTTTCTGCTCTGGGAAAGATTTACAGTCTACGAAACTCTATACAGGGTCACTTTGACGTGTAATTGACTAATGACAGTAGGTTTGATGTTTTGGATTTATAACAAGTAACTCTGACTGCCATCAAGTTGCCTCCAACTACATAGCAACTCTGGATAGTGTTTCTAAGGCTGTAAATCTTTGTGGGAGAAAAATCCCATTTTTCTCTCATAGAGCAGCTGGTGGACTTGAACTGTCAACTTTGCAGTTAACAGTCTGGCGTTTATCTTATAGTGCCACCAGAACCCCATTATAAGTAAAGATATTGAATTAGTACTTTAAAACCTTCACACAAAACAAAACCCAAACAATGAATTCTACCAAATCTTTAAAAAAATACTATCTGTCTTTCAAAAACTCTTCCGAAAAGTAAAAGAGGAGGGAACATTTTTCATCTCACTTTACACAAAGCTACAGTAATTAAGACCATGATAAAGCCAAAAGGATAGACATCTAGATCAAAGAACCAAGCCTGATAGGCCAGAAATAACTCCTTACATTTATGGACAATTGGTTTTCAACAAGGATACCAAAATCACTGAATTAGAAAGAAGTCTTTTCAACAAATGTTCCAGGAAGAACTGGATACCCATACATGCAATTGAATGAGTTTGGACCTTTTGTATACACTGTATGCAAAAATAAAACTCAATGTGGATCACAGTGCTAAATGTTAAGAGGTAAGAATAGGAAACTCCTAGAAGAAAACAGAAAAAAATTTTCATACCCTTGGGTTAGGGAGCGGTTTCTTAGATCTGACACCAAAAGCATAAATGACAATTAAAAAAAAGGGGGGGGGGGACTTGCTCAAAACTAAAAATTTTTGTGTATCAAAGAACATCAACAAAGTGAAGACTCCACAGAATGGAAGAAAACATTTGCAAATCATTTCTTTAACAAAGGACTTATAACCGGAATAGACAGTGTTTGTTGTTGTTAAGTGCTCTAGAGTCAGTTCTGACTCATAGCAGCCCTGTACAGGGTTTCCTAAGCGTTTTTTAAAACTTTTCAAGAAGCAGAAAGCTTCATCTTTCTCCCAAGGAGCAGATGGCAGGCTTGCTTAAACCTCGGATCTTGTGTTTCCCAGGGCTTACTGTATGGAGCCACCATGCTCCCAAACAAAGTGCTCTTATAACACTTATAAAGACTAATTTTTTAAAGGATAAACAACCTAAACAAACCTAAAGAAAAAGATATACCACTGTCTAATAAGCACATGGAATCCTGCTGTGGATCTGTAGGATACGAACTGGACAGTAAGGTCAGTTTGAACCTCAAGGTCAGCAGTTCACACTCACCAGTGGTTCCTTAGAAACCTTATACAGGGTCGTTATGAGTCAGAACCAACTTGATGGCACTTAACAAGAACAAGCACATAATATTTTCAATCACTTCATTTGTATATGAAAACTAGACAATGAATAGAATTAATAAAGAAAAATCTAAGCTTTTGAATAGTGGTGTTGATGAAGAATATTAAATGTGTCATAGACTGCCAGAAGAAGAAACAAATCTGTGTTGGATAAAGTTCAGTCAGGAAGCTCTGCAGAAGCAAGGATGGCAGGATTTCTTCTCATGTAATTTGGACATGGAGGGATGAGTCCATGGAGGACACATCATGTTTGGTAAAACAGAGGGTCAGGTTAGCAAAAAAAATAATAAAAAAAGAAGAAAAACTCTCAGTAAGATGGACTGAAACACTGGCTGCAACAACAGGCTCAAGCATAACAATTATGAGGACAGTGAGGGACTGAGCAGTGTTTCCCTTTGTTATATATAGTCACTAAGAATTAGAACCGACTGGCAGACACCTAACAACAATAATAAGCAAAAGAAATGATGTTTGACAACATGTTGTTGTTAAGTGCCGTCGAGTCAATTCCAACTCATAGTGACCCTGTATAGGGTTTCCAAGAAGTGGCTGGTGAGCTTGAACCACCAACCCTGCAGTTCAAACAGACCTTGCAGTCCAGCTCATTAACTCACAACACCACACCAAGACTGTATATATCTACTGTTGTGGCTGTTAAGCGAAATCAAGTCAATTCCGACTCACAGCAACCCTGTATAGGGTTTCCAAGGAGTGGCTGGTGAGCTTGAACTGCCAACCTTGCCATTCAAACTGACTGCAGTCTAGCGCATTAACCTACAGCGCCATACCAAGACTCCATGTTGTTGTTAAGTACCGTGGAGTCCGTTCCGACTCAGAGCGACCCTGTACAGGGTTTCTGAGGCTCTAAATCTTTACGGGAGCAGAAAGCATCATCTTTCTCCCATGGAAGAGCTGGTAGTTTCGAACTGATGACCCTGAGGTTAGCAGCCCAATTTGTAATCACTACAGTACCAGAGCTCCTTACCAGGACTCCACAGAAGAACTAAAACCAAAATTATAAAAATGATTACTATCTTTAGTGTATATATGCTTCACTATTCACATTTTGGAGTCCTGGTGTGGTGCTGTGGGTTAATGCGCAAGACTGTAAAGCCGTTTAAACTGCACGGTCGGCAGTTCAAGCTCACCTGCTGCTCCTCAGAAACCCTCTACAGGGTTGCTATGGGTCGGAACCCGACTTAACAACAACAACATTCACATTTTAATTTAGTACAATAGCATTCTGTATATGCATTTATATAAAAAATATACATGCTTATAGACTATGGTGGCTTTGTAGGATAACCCTCGACTACGAACCACAAGGTTGGTGTTTCAAGCCCACCAGCTGTTCTGCAGGAGAAAGATGAGGGTTTCTGCTCCCACAAAGATTTACAGCCTCTGAAACCAAGTATAGGGTCACTTGATGGTACTTAACAACATATATGCTTATAACTATGTGAATCCAAATACTAACCGTGATCACCTCTGGGTTAAAGGGTTTTCCTAAATTTTCTTGAGTAATTATGTTGATTTCAAAACCAATAAAACTAAACAATAAAATAAATGCCAATAAAAAAAAAGAAGTTAAAAATTAAGTAATTAATTTTCTCTTTCCAAGAAGGAAGAAGAAAACCTAGAAAATTAAAAAAAAACATGTTCAAACAGGACTCCTACATACTACTTTGGGAAGAAAAATTACTTAGAAAACCTACAAAAAGTCAAGTGTTTAGCCATTCAGAATCTAAAAGAGAGCAAGAGTTCAGCAGAATTCCATCAATGTATAAACTGTCACTACATAATGCTGTTCCATACTTGTATGTGAGGCCAAGAGGCCTCAAGCGTGGGCTCATCTTCTTCTGGATCAAAATCGGGATTATCACTTGGAGGAAGAGTCCGGAAGATGTTAGCACTAATCTACAAAGAAAAATAAATTTAGATTTATGCTCTTTGTTGTGTAAATGGTTTCAACAACACCAAAAAGATATTTTAGAAATCACTTTATTTGAGAAAAACATGAAGTACGACTGTAAACTCTAAAGTTGTTCAAAACCTCTAACTCTCTTCAAGATATGAAGAAGGCAACTGTCTGTTTCTCTCATTTTTCTGTCTAGGAACTCCTACTTCTTCAGACCCTATAAGCTACTAAAAAAGACTTCTAGATTCCTTTTCTATACCTTACAAGCTTTTCTGTTCACTTTTTGCTTAAAGAAATGAAATGTGGAGGGGAGAGGAGGTAAGGTTTACTAATTCTACGTATCTTCAACTAATTTTCTTCTCTCCACATCTCCCCCCATATTCTAACCCAGCCAGCTATTTACATGAAAACTTTAATAAAAATTAGTAAAATATTTTCATTCTTATACATATACACTGGAAGGAGGCAGAACTAGAATAACTTCACTGCTATAATGGACACAGTTTATAATACCACTGATGATTTAATATCATGTTTTCATCTACTCACAAGTGTAAAACACACAAAAATTTAAACTATTTGAAATTGGGGTGTGTCAAAAAAATTTATTTTAGATTCAATGAAATATAGTATTTATAATTCCATTCTTCACATTATCTGTCTCAGTGCCAAGGTAAGAAACTATATATCCTATTTCTCTAGCAAAGGATTGATTGTGGTCACAAACCACAATCAATCCTTTGAAGAACAATGAACAGACTGGCAGATCAAATCATTCACAGTATACTTATGGATACATTATTTAGGGGTTGATCATTTGAGATAAACTATTTAGGAGATGGAGTCCTGGTGTGGCACTGTAGGAAAAGCACTGGACAGGTAACTGAAAGACTGGTGGTTCAAACCAACCAGCCACTCCATGGAAACCCTATACAGTGTCACTAGGAGTCAGAACCCACTTGACAGCACTTAACAATAACAACATTTGGGAGATAGAAAATGAAACAAGGATGTTTAGTAGTGCCAAAAAGTTTCCAAATAATAAAGCTATTATGAAATAGCATTTATGGTAGGCCAAATAACTGATAAGAGTCTATTACTACAACCATAAGATTTATAAATAACCTACAATTGTGACCAGCTAGAACTCAGAGGTAGTATACAATGGACATCAATTTCACAAGGAGTAGCAGAAAGCCACAGATGGATTTTGAAAACTGAAATATATCTATCCCCTTCCCCCAATCCAAAAACCCAATGCTGTAAAGTCATTTCGGACTCAAAGGCATGCTATAGGGCAGAGTAGAACTGCCCCGAGGGTTTCCATGGTTGTAAATTTTTACTGAAATAGACTGCTGTATCTTTCTCCTGCAGAGTGGATGGTAGGTTTGAGCAGCAGACCTTTAGAGCATTTAACCATGTGCTACCAGGGTTCCTTAAAGGACATAACATGTCCTCGAGATAGCATTTATCACTGTAAATTAAGGAAAAAATAAGTTAATCTTGTAAAAACCAATACAATTAACTATACAAAACAAATATACATGAGAGCTTTAAAGACTACTAAGCAGGTGAGCTGACTCCATTTCTGTCCATAAATTCAATCAAGTACTCGGAAGTTAAAAAAAATAAAGCTACCTTGTTTACATGGGCAAATAAGTTTAATTACAGAATTTATTAATATACAGCAAATTACTAAATATTTCAACTCAAATACTTGAGTACTTTCAATATATGCATGGAGATTAAGGTTATCTTCAGAATTTTCAAAATTTATTAAAACAAAGTATTTGAAGTCAGTAACAGAGGAGAAATCCTGGCTTTTCCCCTAAGCACTTTTTTTTTTTTTTAATGGTAAAACAAGAAACAAAATAGGAAACATATTAATATCCAATGTTATTATTTTCAAATGATCACTTTCTTTTTACTACTGTTGGAGTTTAGGAAGCCAAATTCATTCTGATTAATTTTCTCTAATTAAAAAAAATTTTTTAAGGGTTTTATTTATTTTAAAGGTCATGCCATCTTTTTAATCCTTAAAGTGGTGTTAAATCTATTCATATTTGCAAAAACCACCAGTTTTCTGTCACCTTCATCCATTAAAGGTTTTATTTTAATTTTTTAAAAACCCAAATTTCCTAAGTCCTCAGCTTTTGACAGATCTTCTAAGTCCAATATGAAAGAAAAATAAAATAGTAAGTTAAGGTCAAGCTTACCTCTTTCTTAAACAATGGAATTTCCCCATGAACTTTTAGCCCCACTCCCCTCCTTTGTATATTAGCTAAGGGGAGGAAAGTAAAGGCACTTATTTGATGCTAGCTTCTTTCTATATAAACCCTGATAACATTTAGGGTTAAATTATGTACTCAGCAACTCTCTTAATTATTCCAACTAAATCTTTTCTATTTAGTTATCATGCAATAAAATATAAAAATCGCAAATCCTAAACAAATTTCTAGGGAGCACTGAAGTTTGTAGGATAAGCACTAGCTTGAGAACCACAAGATCAGTGGTTCGAACCCACCAGCTGCTCTTCAAAAGAAAGATGAGGTTTTCTGTTCCTAACAGATGTACAACCTCAGAAACCCAATGCAGGATCACTATGACTCGGAACTGACTCAACGACACGTAACAACAATCAATCTTAATTCAATAAAGTTGCATTAATGCATTTTTCACATCAGATACTTTACATGTATCTATAGGTGTGGCGCTGTGGGTTAATGCACTGGACTACAGTTTGAACTGCAAAGGTCGGTAGTTCAAGCTCATCAGTCGTTCCTCGGAAACCCTATACAGGGTTGCTATGGGTCAGAACCGACTTGACAGCACTTAACAACAACATAAATCAAGTTGTTACAGAATCTACAAATCACAATACTTAAATGCTCTACACAAAAAAATGTTAACTTGACTCCCCTCCCCATTTGCTTAATTGTGGAGGTCACCAGGTTTTTGTTAGTCTTCTCATCTTCCTTGAGAAGTTCTCTGTTTGGAACTATTTACTCCCGATAACATCAATTATCAATCTGTATAATCCTGAGCCTACAACTTTTTTCTAAGCTCTTGAGCTGTATTATTTAATATGGCAGACACCAGCCATTACAGCTACTGAATTCACAATTATAAGTAATGACAGCATCATTGGATTGGGTGGGTAACCTTTCAAGAGGATTACTTTGGAAAATCTTCTCTTGGGTACATTAATCATTGCATATTTACTAAAAGTCAGTCTAATTAATTCCTAAGTACACCTCAGATCTTACTTGAATTTATATAAATCTGAGGAACATAAGTCTAGAGGCTTACCATTTTTACTATATCAGAATACGCTGATTCAACAATTACACCACGATTAGTTGAAACGTACTCAACCAGTTCATTCAGTGTTGCTCTTTTAATTTCTTTGCTCTTCAAGTCTGAAACAGAGTCCATGAAATCAAACAGTATGCAACACTGCTGCAACTTCTGACAGAAGAGCTCTTGTTGTTCATTTGAAGTGGCATCTATAAAAAAAAGAAAAGAAAAACTTAGAAATAGCCTACTTAAAAGTTACCCTTATAGTTATTAATTTTATAGAAGTTATTCACACATATGAAGGAGCTTTAAAATGTCTGTGGAAAAATGGAATGACAAGCTAATGGAATTATCCCATGAACTTTCTGAAGCCCCCTTGTAAAAAAAATAATAAAACCTTTCTCGAGCACTGTGCTCTTTTAAGATCTATCTATATGGGATCAAGAGAGTGCAGTGGTTCTGTAGGATAAGCACTGGACTGTGAACCACAAGGTTGGCAGTTTGAGCCCAGTTGCTCCACAGGACAAAGATGAAGCTTTGGTTTCCCCAACATGTTTACAGCTTCAGAAACCGTATGTAGGATCGCTATGAGTAGAACCGACTCGACAGCAGTTAATAACAACTACATACGGGATCAAATTGATCCCAAAAAATTTACAGCAAACCAAAAAATCAGATTTCAACTTAGAAGCAATGAGTTCATGTTAATGAGGGAGGCATAAGTCAGAAAAGCAGGGTGGGAATGGTTGTTAAAACTTGAAAAATATAATTAGTGTCACTGAAGTTGTTGTTATGTTCTGTGGAATCGTTACAACTCATAGACACCCTGTACAGGGTGTCCAAGGCTGTAAATCTTTACAGGAGCAGAAAGCCTCATCTTTCTTCTGCAGAACAGCTGGGAGTTTTGAGATTAGCAGCCCGATTCGTAACCACTACGCTACCAGAGCTCCTTAGTGTTACTGAAGTATTCATATAGAAATGGCTGCATTTGTGTATATTTTGATGTATACAGTCTCACCAACAACAAATTAAAAATAACCTTTAAAAGGAAGAAACTGACCCAACTAATCACATTTTCAGGTTAGAAATATGGGATTTATACTGGACTTTTTCCTCTCCCACACCCACAATGAATTAAGTGTTATTGATTCTGTTCTCTAACATACCTGGAATCTATCTTTTTCTTGTCATTCCCACTGTCACTATCTCTCATTTATACAAAAGTAATGATATCCTACCTGCTCTTCTTAGTTGGTTCCACAGCCACTACCTATCTCACCTGAATTACCCTCCAAATGAACTCAGAAGCTGTGGTGTTAATAAAATGAGAAACAACCTGATCACAATGCAACACTTTCCACTGGTACAAGATAGTGAGAAGCAATGGCAGCAGAACCAGGACACTGGCACAAGAGGGTGCGATGGGTTTCCTGGCCCAGAGAGAAAGGCACTCACAGTGCACATGCTGACATACAGAGAAAAGAGCTAAGTGTCTTCGGGCCCAAACTCTAGACTAGAGTAAGGAGCCCTTGAGCACTTACTGATGGAGCTAAAGAGCTTTCTAACACTAGGAGGAACAGGGCAGAGGAACAGGCCAAGGGGCTAAGGGCCAGATAAGAGGCCTGCCTGTTGGCCTGGTTGAGAAGCTGTCCTGACAAAAAAAAAAAAGCATTCTGAGTCATTCCTGTTCTTGAACCTGTTACTCTCCTATCCCATAATTGAGCGTGGCCTGTAAGTTCTGTGGGAGGGATGTTGCTATGAGCTGTTGAGTCAGTTCCTACTCATAGCCACCCTGTATAGGGTTTACAAATAACAGCTGGTAGGTTTGAACGGCTGACCTTTCAGTTAGCAGTCCAGTGCTTATCCGCAGCGCCACATCAGAATTCTGTGGGAGGGATGACTGGTGTAAAAACTGGTAAAAAAAAAAAAAAAAGTTTGGAGAGAAGAGATATCTGTGACCTTCACCTCATAAGGAACCGGCCTTGGGCTATTGTTCTTGATTCTCCTCTCTCATTGTGAAGTTAGAAGATGTCAGGCACCCAGGAGCTGACAGTTTTTTACAATCACCCCCAAAATAATTTTGGTTTCTCAAGGACAATGATCACTCTTTTTATTTGAAACCCTTTTATTTCTTTCACATCTAGCACAGGGTTTATAAAGAACTGATGAATACTTATTTGATTCTTGAAAAACTCTAAATTTGAAGAATAAAGATTATGCAGTAAAAGAACAGGCTGTTGAACAAGGAAAAGTTAAAACTGGTATTGGATATAAAAAGCAGCATAAATAGTGAATTATAAGGTTGGCCCAGAGTCAGGCAGTGTTTCGTTCTACTGTGAATAAGGTCGCTATGAGTCAGTACTGACTTGATGCACCTAACAACACGTTAACAAGAGTCCTGGTGTGGCTAGGTACGCCAAACACTGAAGTGCTCATTGAAAGGTTGGTGGTTCAAACCTGCCAGCTGCTCCTCAGAATCCCAAATCTCAAGATGAGTCAGAAGTGAGTGGCACTAACAACAGCAGCTGTGTTTTACAAGTGATAACAATTACCATTTTTATCGCAAATAACCTACCTTAATGGTAAATTTAAATGGTTAAATGAGAGTGAAACAGTTAACATTTCAACTCCTTTCTTTGACTTAAAACAGAAGTTTCTGATCTTCTGTTATTTTAAGATAAACATGTTGTTGTTACGTGCTCAATCAATCTTGCAGTTCAGTGTATTAACCCGCAGCACTACAACAGGACTCCATAATTTTAGGACATTAAGGGGAAAAACATTTTACTATTTAATCCATAATCTGCAAGTACTTAGCTAGAGTCACTGAACACTGAGCTACATAATAAAACATCATACTACTACTACTACTATTAC